AGAACTTCCCAGACAGAGTGTCAGCAATTTGGATTGCATTGCACTATCATTCGTTCTGATATGTGGCGCTACCAAATGAAGATGTAAGTAAGTCTCATTGTCCACCTTTAAATAATTGTGCCTCTCACCTGTTTCTAGAGTTAAATCTTTAAGTAAATTTATATGCGAGAGGTTATTTCATTTAAATAACTAAACCTTTACCCATTTTGATCTAGTCCTTTTCTTTTTAGTTTTTGATCTCAAAGCTAACGCTAGAGTGGTGTAAATTAAAAGTTCCCCCAACATGTTGCTCCGTGCATGATCCCTGACAACTGAGCAAGACTGAGAACAAAACAGATTGTCTGTGACCTTTTCAGCATTCTGTCTTACCGCATGTCTTAGAGCTTCACAGGCAAAACAGATGCTAAGACGGACTGTCTGTGGGACCCTTTAGATCAAAGCAAGCAGGCCATATTGCAATGGTTACAGGATCCTAACGAGTTCAATGGGGATAATCTGAACAGTATAACACATGAAACCAGCAGGCATTTCAGGAACAAAAAGAGGGAATATCTGAAAGACAGAATTGATGAGCTTGCAATGAACAGCAAGAACAAGAACATTAGAGACCTGTATAGAGGAATAAATGACTTTAAGATGGGTTACCAACCTAGCAGTAACTTAGTGAAGGTTGAGAACGGTGAGCTGCTTGCAGATTCCCACAACATTTTGAATAGGAGGAGGAACTACTTCTCTCAGTTATTGAATGTACATGGGGTCAGTGATGTTAGGCAGAAAGAAATCCATATAGCTGAGCCGTTAGTACCTGATCCTAGCCCTTGTGATGTTGAAAGTGCTATTGCAAAATTGAAATGGTATAAATCACCAGGTAGTGATCAAATGCAGGCAGAACTTATTCAAGCAGGAGGTGAAATAATACGTTCTAAGCTAATTACTTCTATCTTACTCTTCAACTACATTAGCTACTTATAATCTAATGGAGAATATTTATAGGGCTTTAAACAACAAATATATAGCTGGTGGAATGTTTTGTGATCTGAGTAAGGCTTTTGACCGAGTAAATCATGATATATTGCTATCAAAAGTGGACTTTTATGGAATTGAAGGAGCTGCTCAGAAACTTATGAGATCCTATTTGAGAGGAAGATACCAGAGAGTAATTTTGTATGAAAATGGGAGTAAATGTTGTTCTGAATGGAAAGAAACACAATGCGGAGTGCCTCAGGGCTCTGTATTAGGCCCAGTGCTCTTTTTACTATATGTAAATGACTTACCAAAAATTATATCTGACCTATCCAAACCAATATTATTTGCAGATGATACAAGTACCCTTATCTTTGATAAGAATCCTGCGACATTTAAAATTAGAATAAATAAATTATTTGAGATGATAAATGAATGGTTTAGGAAAAATGAGCTAGTAATAAATTATGAAAAAACTTATTTTCTACAGTTTAGAACTAAAAACAGTAAAAACTTAAATGTTCAAATTAGCTATTTAAACAATCAAATTCCAAGTATTTCTAATATATCGTTTCTGGGATTAAAAATTGAAAATTTTTTAACGTCATATTGAAAGTCATATTGATGCAGTAATTGATAAGTTAAGCAGATCCTGTTTTGCAATCCGATCAGTTAAATCCTTTTTACCACTGGA